GACCCTGGCTCCCCCTGTCCCCCCGCCCCTGTCCCCCCCCACACACACACCCCGCCTGGGAGGGAGGGAGCGAGGTGTGTCAGAGCTGGGCTCGGAGTCTGGGCGCCCAGGGCCCCACAGGACACCCTGCTGTTGGCTGACAGCCCCAAGGGCACGTGGGGACAGGCTTAGGGTTGGGGGAGGGGAAGGCTGGCCTCCAGCTGTGGCCGCCTTCCCGGGTTATCCTGGCACCGCGGGGGGTGGGGGGGTGACTCCTGCTTTCGGACGAGGACACGAGGTCGGACAGCAGCTCTCGAAGGGCCTGCGCCTGGACAGGGTCTGTCCCGAGCCCACGCCGGAGCAGCCGCCAGCCGGAGAACGGAGGCCTGTCCCTCCCGCCAGGCCCCCGCCACCACCCATCACACACACACACACACACACACACACACACACACACACCCCGCTGGCCGTTCCCAGGCTGACACGCTGCCGTTGCCCCGACGATGCCGGTGAGTGAGGCTGCAGGGGAGGCCATGCCGGCCTCCACGCCCGTGACCACCATTCGGTGCAGCCCCTGCTGTGCCCGCAGGGTGCGAGCGGCATCTTCCCCGTGTGTGAGCCCGGGAATCGGAACTGTCAAAGCCACATCCCGGCTCGGTCTATTACCACCCCCATGTTCGCGCCTCCGTGCCTGTGCCTCCCGTGTCCAGGCCTTCGCCGGCATGGCCTTGGCAAACAAGCCTCAGAAGTGGGACCCTGCAGACCGCCCGCACGTGGGCTCGCACCCTCTTGCCTCGCCGAGATGCCAGGCGGACATCCCAGGTGGCCTGCAGGGGCCACTGGCCCTCGGACCAGCGCCAGCCCTCGCCCCCTCGGAGCTGCCACGGGACGGCAGGTGCCGACAGGAGAACGGCCTGCTGAGCCCCAGCCGCGGCCCCAGGGGGGGAACACACACAGGCGGGCCGGGAGCAGCAGGGGACGGACCTCGGCTTTGTAAGCTGATCGCTCGGCGGGCGGGCTGTTGGAGAGAGCGTCCGACCAGACAGAAGACGGGGTCCCTCTGTCTGCACCTCGTCTCCCCTCGTCTCCTCTTACAAAGGGGTGGTGTCCTGTGTCATGGGGGCGAGGCTCTGGGTGAAGGGCCCGGGGACTTGGCAGTGGCCAGGCGTCTGAGGACACCGTCCCCCCAGGCGGCCTGGCTCTGACCCGAAGCCGCGCTGGGTGGCGGTGGTTCTCCGGACGGCGCCGCTGGCTGGCACTCCCACGCCTCCGCCTTCAGCACAGCCGAGGCCGCTTACAGTTGGACGGAGGAGGAGACGCAGGGGACGCCTGTCGGGTCCGGCCAGAAGGGCGTGTGGCCCTGGCGTGTGGCAGACACGTGGGTGTCACCGTGCCGGCGTGAGCACGCCCGTGGTTCTCGGGCAGCCGGGCCCACCAGCCGGGGTCGGGGGCGAACGGGCTGGGCTGGCCGCAGCGCCCTGGGCGCCAGGGGAGCCGCCTCCCGCTCTCCCGTAAGCTCTTCCCGCGGAAAGAGTGAGCCTCTGGGCCGAGCCGATGCAGGGATTCCATTGTCCTGGCTTCCGGCCCGGCCCCCTGGCCTCTCTCCAGGCTCCACGAGTCTGGGGAGGCCCTGCCGGAGCCTCAGCCCAGCCACTGCGGCCGGCCCCAAGCTGGACCTGGGCCTGGGCAGCGCCTGGCCCGGCCTCCCCCTCCGTCCTAGGTGCTGCCAAGGGGCTCAGGCCCGGGGCCCGGGCTTCTCCTCCCAGGGACACCCACACCCACTGCTTCCCGGGAGGGAGGGAGGGAAGGAGAGAGGGGGGGAGGGAGGGAGGGAAGAAGGAAACGAAGGGAGGAAGGTGGGGAGGGATAGAAAGGGAGGGAGGGGGGGGGAAGGAGAGAGGGAAGGAAGGAGGGAGGGGGGAGGGAGGGAGGGAGGGAGATTCCCAGGGAGGCCCTCTCACATGTGTCTTGGGGAGGCTGTGGGGTGAGTTTCATCCCCGTTTTAACCATCTGTGGAGTCTAACTCAGTGGCGTTTAGCACATTCACAATGTCTGCACCATCACCACTCTGTTCTGGAACATTCCCACCACGCCAGGCCCTGCCGCCTCTGACCCCCTGTCCGTCCGTCTCTGAGGAGGTGCCGTCCTGACCCCACAGTGAGGGAACCCCGCTGTCTGGGGGGGTCCTCGCAGGCTCCTCACCGGCACCGGTGTGCCAGGCCCCGCTGTAGCCCGCCAGCCGCATGGTGCTCCGGTGTGGCTGGGCCACGGGCGCTGCTCCGATCCTCGGCCAGCGGCGGGCACGCGGGCCGTTGTCACCCTCTGGCCCCCAGACCACGCTGCTGCGTCGGGCACTGTCCGTGCTTCTCTCGTTCCCGGGAGCTCAGTGTGACTCCTCGCTGCAGCCACAGCAGACAGAGCCCCCGAGGGTCTGAGCGTGCACAGGGCACAGGTCTGTAAACAGAAGAAAGGAGGAGCCCTGGCCGGGTTTCTCAGTGGATAGAGCGTCAGCCTGTGGACAGAAGGGTCCTGGCTTGGATTCCAGTCAAAGGCACACGCCTGGGGTTGCGGGTTCGATCCCCAGTGGGAGGTGCACAGGAGGCAGCTGATCAATGATTTTCTCTCATCACTGATGTTTCTGTCTCCCTCTCACTTCCTCTCTAAAATCAAAAATATATTTTTTTTAAAAAGAAGAGAGAGGGAGGATGGGGCCGGGGTGGAGCGGCCACGCAGGGCTGTCCTTCCTGTCCTCCGGGCAGGCAGTCCAGGCTTCCGGTCCCTGGAGGAGGGGCACTGCCCGGGGCCACTTCCTTCGCTGGGAGAGACCTGGCAGTTCCCTATCTGTCACCTCCCTGACTCACCCTGAGTCATCACCGGCTCATCCCTGCGCCCCAGGCCCCGGCCAGCGCTGCGGACCCATCCATCTCTGACTTCTCTGGCTGTGCCCCGTGTCAGGTCACCCTGCTGTGGCCGGGCTGGAATCTGGTTCCCTAACAGGGTGGCACGGTGTGATCTGGGCCTCAGTGGCTCCGTCTGTGGAATGGGACTAAAGGCCAGGATCCAGCCACACACCAGCAGGGACCGCGGTCTCGGTTCTGGAGGCCGAGGTCAGGATCCGGTGCCGGAGGTTGGTCTCTCTTGAGGCCGAGCTCAGGGCGGGTGGCTCCGGACTCCTCGGGGTACTCCCTGTAGACGCATCGCCCCCTCCTGCCTCCATCTCTCAGCGCGTCCTCCCGGGTCTCTGTCTCCGGCCAGAGCCTGGGGCCAGGTGTGACCTCCGTCCACAGTCCCAGCCCAGGAAGCAGGACCGGAGCCGACCTGTTGGGGCAACAACCAGCCCGTCGCACCGAGTCAGCGTGGCATGTCGTGTCTGGGCGGGCTTTCTGGCCTGGGCAGGAGGACGCACCATTTGGAAGGCTTCTGGAAAGTTCACGGACCCCGTGCCTCCACATGGGGACCCTGGTGGGCCTGCCACACCGGTGCTGGGGCAAAGCAGGGGTGTGTGTTACAGGAGCCAGGAACCGAGTCCTGTGGGGATGGCGGTGCGTGCCCGCCGTTAGCCTCTGTGGTGTCTGTACGCCATCCTGAGAGCAGGGACCACAGCTTGCAAAGGCGCCTTGCCCCCACCTCTCCTGCCTGCCGCCTCATCACAGGGAAGCGGGAGGGCCAGGGCAGTGGGATGAGCAGACGGACAGGCTTCCCGAGAAGCCACTGCCCGGCCTGCCAGGAGGCCTGGCTGCTCGCCGAGCTGGCTGAGCCGGCTGAGCCGGGCACAGTGGGGCCCGGGAGCCCGGTTCTCACACGCGGATCCAGAAGTAATGCCCCAGGGTGGTGAGGAGCCAGAGCCAACAGACACACCTCCGGACCCGGGGCGAGAGGGCGCCCAGGGCCAGGCACCACAGGTCTTCCGACCTCCCCGTGTCGGGGCTCCCACCTGCACTGGAACGAGCATGGGGCTGCCCAATGGGGAGTGCTGGCTGCGGAGCCCCACCATCTGTGGCCGGCCCTCCCTGGCAGAGGCCTGAGTTCCCAGCCCAAGGGTGCCAGGCTTCCTTTCCCTCAGTCTGGACAGAGATAACACCTTTCCGGAAGGGAGGGCCAGGGCGGGGCTCCGGCTGCCCTCAGGCCCTTACAGCCTGTGCTCTCCCCTTCCACGGGAAGGATATGGGTGCACAGAGAGGGGTGTCACTTGCCCAGACCCTCAGCTCCAGGGGACCCGCCAGGTGTGGATCTGGATGGTCCGTATTTTACAGACGGTCACTGGGCGCCTCGGCCAGCCCGGCCGCTGCGGGCCGACCCTACAGGAGCTTAATGAACGTGCAATACTGGATCCAACGAGCTCGGGCTCCGGCCCGGGGTGCGGGGTGCAGGTGTGGGGTGAGGGGGGCCGGCAGCCAGCGTTCGGAGCCCCGTCCCCATCCGCGGGCGGGAAAGGGCACTGGTCCTCCCCTCTTTCCTGCCCAGCGCCCCTCGGCTGGGGCGGGGGGGAGGAGTCCTGGTGGGCGTGACCTAGCACAACGTGCCAATAGCTGCGTGGGGGCGGAGTCAGAGAGGCGGGCCCGGAGGGCGGCGCGCCAATGGCGGGGCGGGGGCGGAGTCTGCGAGCCACGAGGGGCGTGTCCGGAGGGCTGCGGGCCAATGGCGGGATGGAGGGCGGAGTCGGAGCGCCGCGGGGGCGGGCCCGGGGGCGGCGGGCCAATGGCGGGATGGAGGGCGGAGTCGGAGCGCCGCGGGGGCGGGCCCGGGGGGCGGCGGGCCAATGGCGGGGCGGGGGCGGGCCGGCGGCGGCGGGCGGGGGCGCGCGGAGGCGGCGGCGGCGGCGAACAAAGAGGCGGCGGGCGCGGGCGGCCGAGCGGAGCCGAGCGCCGACGAGCACCGCCGAGCCGGGCCGAGCCGGGCCGGGCCGGGCCCAGGGCGCGCGGGCGATGCGGGCGAGCGGGTCGGAGTCCGCGGGCCCCTGAACCCCACGCCCGGGCCGGCGAGGAGCGCGCGGCGGCCGCGTGCGGGCGGCTCGGGCCGCCATGGCCGGGGTCAGCTACGCGGCGCCCTGGTGGGTGAGCCTCCTGCACCGGCTGCCGCACCTGAGCCTGCGCTGGGAGCCCGCCGGCAGCCAGTTCCGGCCCGAGGACCCCGACTACCAGCAGGTGCCGGGCCGGGCGGGGGCGCGGGCGGGCGGGCGGGCGCCGGGTCACGGCCCTTCCTCCCGGAGGTGCGGGCCCCTCCCCCATCGGCGCCGTCGGCCCCCTCCTCCCGGCCGCCAGCCCTCCCCGGAGGCCGCCCCTCCGGCCTCAGGCTGCCCCCGGCCTGAGGGCCTCCCTGGGTCAGTCCTTTCGGGCATCGGGACCCCCGCCCCCACCGAGGGTGCGGGACCTCCTAGCCCGGCTTCCCTTCTGGGGCCTCTTTCCCGGTTCCGTGGAGCCCCTGGGCCAGCTGTCAGCGCCCGCCAGGCCCTGTCCGTCCCGGCAGAGCCCCCGCCCAGAGGACCCCGCGGTGTCAGCGCGGTGTGTGATGAGGGTCGCCCTGCAGCCGGAGCAGCCCGGAACCCAGGACCAGGCCGTGGCTGTGCCTTCCGGCCCCGAGGACCCGGCGCCGGGTCACCTGGAACCCCTCAGGCTGCGTCTGGCAATCATTGCACAGCCCCGGGGTGGCCGGAGAGTCCGGTGTCCCGTGGACCGTGTCCCTCCCCACCTGGGCCGAACTCCTCTCGTGGCAGAGAGCCAGCCGCGAGGGCGAGGATGCTGTGGGCACCCCGGCGCCCGGCCCCGCCGAGCGGGTTAGGAAGGGGTGAGGGGCTGGCCCGCATGCCTGAGGCAGCAAAAGTGTGTGAAACCAGCACCCGCATTCTGGAGGCCCAGCCCAGGGGGCCTGCAGGAACCCTGAGCACTGGCTCTGCCTCACCCGCCCTGGGGGCTGTGCGTCCACAGGCCAGGGGCTGGGCCTGACCTGAGGCGACGGTTCCCTCCCGCTGTTCTGCAGCCCCTGGGGCACCTGGGCTGTCGGCTGCCAAGCTGTCCTGCCGGCCGTGAGCTGCCACCTCCGCACGCTGCCCACCACACTTGGCCTGGCCGCCTGGCTCCTGCTCTCGGGGTGCCCCCCCCCGTGCCAGCTGGGATTCCAGGACACTGGTAGAGAGTGAGCCAGGGCACACACCTGAGGCCCTGGAGGCCCCCCTGGGCACAGCTTGGCCGCCTGCAGGGCCCTTTGCCCCCGGAGGACCCTGCCCGTGGGCAGCCCCGAGCCTGTCCGCTCCGTGTGGGAGGCTCTGACTCACTCCCTCCCGCCTCCTCGGAGCAGCGGAGTGAGCGCTGAATAATTCACGGGGTGGAAACCTGCCGGCTGCATCCCTCAGGGTTTAATGCGATTCAGGCCAGGCCGGCCCCGGCCTGCAGCAGCTCGGTGGCAGAGGGTCCTGTCTGAGGGGTGGGGCTGGCCCCGGTGCCGCCATCACCGCTGATGGGAAGGAGACGCTCCGGTTAGACAGCGGCATTCGTCTCCTCTCCTCGTTTACAAGGGAGACACGTCCTCGGAGCATCTGGGAAATAGGAGCGAGCTGGAGAGAAAACAAGCCCCTCCCCAGGACTCCGTCCGCACACTCGTCCTGGGGGCGGGAGGGGGAGCGGAGAACTAGCATCGCACCCTGCCCTCTGTCACCCCTATGAAGCGTCACATGCTGGGGACCCTGTCCATGGTCCTTGGTTCCGGCGGCTTGGCCTGGGCCCGGGGGCAGTGGGTTCCAAGCGCCAGAGTCCCTGGGCCTGGGCAGCATCCACAGCGCCCCTGCACAGACAGCTCACACGCTCCGTTTGGGGTGCAGGGCCCATGCATGGGCGGGGTCCAGGGAGCCCTGGGCCCAGTGGCCTCTGCCTGTGTCCTCCCGCTCAGTGTCCAGGTTCCAGGAATCCCGTTGGCTGAGCTGGGGTCTGGGCAGCAGAGGGCTGGCTGCTCAGTGCCTCCGCCACCAGCTGCCCCCGCTGAGGGGTCAGTGTGGGCCGGACCGAGTCCCCGCCTGGCGAGCTGCGGGGTCTGCACCACAGCTCTGTGGTCAGGCCCTCGCTCCCGGTTGTGAGGGTCTGAGGCCGGGACAGGCGCTGGGGGGGGGGCACTGGGGCAGGGCAGCAGCCGTGTGAGCCGGGCGGGCGCTCAGGCTCTGGGTGCCCTGACCTCGGGCCCTCTGCCGGAGAGGCACGTCAGGCCACGGGCACCGGCACCAGTGAGCGGGAGACGTGGCAGGCTCCTCGCTGGCCGGGCACTGCCCTGCCCGTAGACTCAGCCCTCAGCAGCTTCTGAGTCCGGGGCGGGGGGGGGGGAGGACCACCTGGCCCTTTGCCTGGACCCCTCCCCCAGGCAGCTCTGCTGGAGAAGAGGAACCGAATCTGCAGAGGGGTCACCACGTGGGAAGTGCCCCACGTGGTTCACGTGGGCCCTGGACAGGGGGGCAGAGGTCCCTCCTAGGTCTGGCCCCCGGGGGCTCCGTGGCAGGCAGACACCTGCTGAGGCCACGGGTGCCCCTGTCAGGTATGGGGACGGGAGGGCTGTGGTGAGCCTGGGACAAGGCCAGGCCTCCAGGCCAAGGCCCTAGTGCCAGCTGGCCATGAGGCCACGCTTGTCCTGTGTGGAGCCAGGGAGGGCACCTGGCTGTGGGGCGTGCCCTCAAGAAGCGTGTGGAGCCAAGGCGTGCCAGGGCCACAGGTGGGGGGACCGTCTGTGAGCTCCCTTTCCACCCCCTTGCCCAAGGCCTGGACTCCGTGTGCCCAGAGGAGGTGGGACACACGTGTGTGTGATCATGCACACCGTGCCACCCTCCACCCTCAGTGCTCCCCTCCTGCTCAGGAGGCTGGGTGAGGCCTGGTCCCCACGGGAGGGCAGGGGTGCCAGCGTGGCCAGGCTTGTCCTTTGTTGACCTAGAACCGTCAGTGATCGGCTAACTGCGGCTCTCGAGCCACATGCAGCTCTTGGCCCCTTGAGTGTGGCTCTTCCACAAAATACCACGGCCTGAGCCAGTCTATGCTGAAGAAGAGGCGTTAGGAGAAGTTTAAGTTTAAAAAAAGTGGCTCTCCAAAGAAACGTCAATATTGTGCTGTTGATATTTGGCTCTGCTGACTGATGAGTTTGCCGACCACTGATCTAGGGCATGGGGTGAGCTGGGCTCCCAAAGTCTCAGTGACCACTGCTGCCTCCGAGAAGGGGGCTGCCCGCTCTGGCCCTGACTGGTGGTGACCAGCCCTGAGGACGCCACGGCCCCCTCTGAGGCCGGGCCGGTCCCCGGAGGGGGTTGACGAGGCGCTCACAGCCGTGGTGGAGGCAGAGGGGTTTCTGGGCGGCACTAGAGCAGTGACCGGAAGAGGGCACGTGCCAGGTGCGGGTCTGTGGTGTGCTCAGCCTCCCGCGGCCTCCGCACCTCCTCCACGTGGTCTGGCTGCAAGGGAGGGGGTGCTGGGCCTGGCTGACTGGTCAGAGCCCCCCGGGACCCTGGGCTCGGTCCCCGTGGCTCCTGGCGGGTAGGTGAGCGTAGTGTGTGCCGAGCAGAGAGGACGTGAGCCCAGCCGGTGTCTGCCCGGCAGGCTCGGACCTTGGACCTTGGACCTCGGTCCTCGGCCCCCGGCGGGGAGGGCGGGAGGGATTGGACAGAGCGGGGCCCCTCGCAGGCTCCCGCTGGGCCACGAGCTCACCGGCATGGAATTCGAGAAACCCAAGCCCACTCCATGGAAATGTGTTTTTAATTTCTGGCCGGCATCTGGGAGCCCCAGCCAAGCCTGTGTGAGGGGCGGGGGCTGTGGCCGCGGCCGCACGGCCAGCTTGTACCCCTGGTCTGGGCCTGGGCCCTCAGCGCGCACCCTCGGCTGGCATGGGAAGTGGGTGCCTCCCCGTCTGGTGGTCTGGAGCCCAGGGAGCCTGTGGGTGCTGAGGCAGAGAGCCAGCCCTAGGGGAGTCGGCTGCTCTGGGGCATGCGCCTTCCCAGCAGGCGACCGGGCACAGGGGGTTCAGCCCAGCGCCCACTCCCCTCTCCTCACCGCACACCCAGGGCTGCAGCAGGACTTGGGGGCTCCTATGGATGCCCTGACCCCGTCTTCCTGAGAAGGAGGCAGCGCTGGGGCCCATTGCTCCCCCACATCTGTCTACAGCCCCACTCCCTACAGCCCCACTCTGCCCCTGGCACTGCGGGCGCAGGTCTGCAGCCTGGACCTGTGCTGGGCTTCTGCCCACACTGTACCCCCCATGGCACCCACTGACACCCCTGACGCTTCTGCACCCGGTCCTTCTGAGCCTCCGGCCTGCACTGAGGCTCTGGGAGACGGGGCCCCCAGCACAGCTGTCCGTGCCCCGTGGCCCCAGTGCCCGGCCTCAGCCTCTGCTCACGCAGGCTGTCTCACCAGCGAGGCCAGCATGCCAGCATGTGTGGCGGGCACTGAGGGCCCCGGCCCCTCTGAGGCCTCCCTGTCCCACCTGTCGGGAGCGGGGAGCCAGCCAAGGTGGCAGGGCTCTGGCCTAGGCCGCTGCCACCCCGGCTGTGCCTGGGGGAGTCCCCTGCCCTCTCTAGCTGCTGGTGCACGTGGCGCCCACAGCGAGGCTGGCCAAGGGGTCATGCGGCCGGGCAGCAGGGCCCGGGGGTGTGTCCTCTGGGCTGGGTCAGGTCCCTGTGAGGGTCTCGGGTGGAGGCTGTGGACGGGCAGGCAGAGGGCAGAGCCGGTGCCGGGAGCTGTGGGGGTGCCTGTGCTGTGTGTGACGTGCTCCCCGCAGGGGCACATGGAGGTGCTGGGCGGGCCGTGCGTGGCGCTGGTGGTCCGGGGCATTTTGGGGTGGCTGTGCTGGCGCTGAGCTGCCACTCTGCACAGGGGGTGCCCACACGGTATCTGACCGGCGTGTTCAGGCCAAAGGAGGAGTGGCTGGCGGGCCCCGCTCGCCGTGCCCGTGGGGATGGCACTGGGCCTCGGGCTGCACAATATTAGTGAGGTTCGGTGCCCGGCGCCCTCCCCTCGTGGGGCTGGCGTGGGGCCCCTTGCAGCCAGGCTGCCAGCAAGCATGGGGCTCAGCCAGGACAGGACCGCCCCGGGCCCTTCCCGCCGTCTCCCTGCCAGGCCGGTGGGGGCTGGGACCCGAGCTCGGCTCGTCGGCGTTTTGGGTGTGGGGGCGTTGGGGGCCGTGGGGCGCGGGGAGAATGTGGCTCTGGGCAGGGCCCGCTCCTGGATATGCTTCGTGGGGGGGGCGGGCTGCAGGGGCCTCGAAGGACGGTGGTCCAGGCTGGAGACCGAGCGGGAGGGTGGGGGGGGCGCCGTACTGCCCGTGTCTGTCTGCGCCGAGCCGGGCACTCCTGGCGCTGCGGGTGGCGGGGAGCCAGCGCTGTGGCCGGCGGTCAGGACGCGGCCCAAGCATCTCGCCTCGCTGACCGGGCGCTGACATCACTTCCATCGCTGACCGACGGAAAATTCCATGTGGTCAGAGCCAGATGCTGAGCAGACAGTCCTCTCTTTCTGAATGGGCCTGGGAAGCCGGAGCGGGCGGGTGGGCGGGGCCGGGGAAGCCTCGCCAGCTGATCCCTGGGGCTCTGCCTGAACTGGGCAAAGGCCACACGTGGCCCCGGCCCCGGGGACGGGAGGACTGGGACCTGGGTTCCCTCCTTTCCTCCCGTTGGCCTTCCAGGGCTGCCCAGGACCACACTGGCCATCACTGTCCGGGCGTTAAGGCTCCCGGGAGAGGCTGCCCGGTCTGTCGAAGCTCGGGGTGGGGTCCTGAGGCCCGCGTTTCTGAGCACCCTGTGTGCCAGGCTGCGGAGGAGCTTCCCAGCACCCCCTGGGGGCGGGGGCAGAGAGCAGGCCAGGGGGTGAGCGGGGTCCCTGTCGGCAGGCAGGCAGGCAGACGGGGCGCAGACCTGGCTCCGTGTGCGGGGCTCCCCGGCCCTGCCGCTGCCTCCCGCGCTGAAGGAACCCCGCCCTCAGGTGCCCCCCGGAGCCCAGGCCACCCTCTCACTCAGGGCACAGGTCCCACCTGGACCAGCTCCCTGGGGTGGGCGTGTCCTGCCCCCTTGGCCGCTGAAAGTGTGTGATGCGCAGGTCCACCCTCGCCCACCATCCCTGAGAGCTTACAGCCACGACCTCACAGGGCAACTCTGTGCATGTGTGAACGTGGGGGGTGTGATAGACACGTGGGAGTGTGCTCACACTGACCTTTCTGTGATCTGCCCTGGGCGCCCTCCCCGCAGCCAGGGTGCCCCCTCCTGTGCCCAGCCCGCCAGGCTGCCTGTGGGCAGGGGGCCCTGGACAGCACCCCGTGGGCCCTGACTTCTGGGGGCTCCCCCTTTCCACACGAGCTCATCAGCCTGAGGAGCACCCCTGCAGTGACGCCTCACCTCCAGAACAGGCGGAGGAGCCCTGAACCTGGCACCCTGGTTCCCTGAGGGCTGACCCTCTGGGGCCTGGGTTTGGGGGTGCTGTGGGAGTGGGGTGCCGGGCCCTCGCCCCTGCCACCCGATCTCCACGGCATGGCCTGCCCGGAGGCCTCCCACGCCCGCTGGAGAGAGCTGCTCACCGGTTTCTGGTTTTGTGTTTTAATTATAACGCAGCTCGTGTTTGTGGCTTTAAAAAAGAGAGAAACCCTCAAAAGAACAGCCCACAGCAGCAAAGCGAAGTGAATCAGAGCTGGAGAGGAGGGCCCAGGCCGCCTGCCCGCGGCGGGCGGGGGAGGCAGGCCCTGGCACCTCCCCGGAGCCCAGAGCCGGGCGCCTGGATCCCGCCGGCCAGTGATGCTATCTCGCCTCCGCCTCTCATCCGGCAAAGGGAGTGGGTGGTCCTGGCGCCGCCAGGGGGCGATGGGCGCTCTGTCCGGCCAGCTCCTGCCCCCGTCCTCCCGCGCCTCCTCCGCTGTCAGGGAGAACGCCTGGCTATGGGGGGTGGGGGTGTCCAGTGCAGAGCTCGGGAGGGACCAGGTGGCTGACGGCCGGCCGGGCTCTGGCTGTGAAAGGCAGGCTTCCCTCGGAGCCCGGCCCCGGGCCGTGGCTGTCCTGCCCTTGGCCTCTGACCCTGTGAGATGGTCCAGCTGAGCATGAGGGTAGACCCAGAGGGCCCACAAGAGGGCGCTCTTCCAAGCCCCCTAATGTTCGCCCACTCCCCAGGCCAGGCAATGCTGGGGGGAGGGGTGGGGCCCGATACCTGCCGGTCTCCCCGTGACCTTGGGCAAGCTCCCCCCCATCCTTGGAGGCCCCACGGACACACGAATGCCCCGGAGGGACCTCGAGAGCCTGGGCTGAGAGGTGGCTCTGGCACTCGCCCGCTCCCCACCCCTCCCCGTCCAGCGGACAGGGCAGGGGCAGTGGGGCCCACGGGGCCTGCCGGCTGCACCCACGCCCACGGTGCCCATTGCTTGCTGGGCAGCAGGGGCGGCCTGGACTGCTACCCTCGTGGTGCCCCGGCCTTCCCCAAGCCAGTGCCTCCTCCCCTGCTGCCTGGCAACAGTCTCCCGGGAGACAGCGGCTGGCAGGGCTGGGATGCTGCAGTCCCAGGGGCCCTGCTGGGGGCAGGCGGGCCTGGGTGTCCCACCCCACAGCTCCCAGGCTCAGGCCCGGGGCACCCTCTGAGGGGGGGAGGGTGCTCCAGGGGCCTCCTGAGGCAGCTGTGACGGTGCCTGCGGGGGCACCTCCCGTGAGGGGCACAGCCCTGCGCCCCAGAAGTTCGTACCTTCTTCCAAGTTCTCATCAGTGAAATGGGGTGAAAGGGCCAATGGGGCTCTGTGCTGCCTCCTCCCCCTCCCCCGAGGAGGGCCCGGCCGGGCTTCCCTGGGGGCCAGCCTCCGGGACAGGAGGGAGCCCCAGACGAGGTGGGCTCCGGGGCTCCAAGGTCTGGGAGGCGGCTGGGCCCGGAGCAGGCGGAGGTGAGGGTGGGCGGTGCCAGCAGCACCCCCCCAGGCCCTGTGTGCGCGGGGGGGGGGGGGGGGGGACAGGCGGGGTTCCCGGCTGTGCCTGCCTCTGGGAGACCTGCCCTCGGCCCCTGTCACCCACCCAGCGCCGCCTCAGGCTCCGCGGGGGGACCCCGCTCAGCGGCCGTCTTGGCGCTGGGGCCCCGGAGGCGGAGGGCCCCTGGGCCGGTGCAAGGCCGGGAGGGTCTAGTCGGGGTTCCCAGAGCTGGGCGACCGCAGGCCCTGCCCGAGGGGGTGGGGGCTCGGGGGCCCGGCGGGCGGGAGCCCTCACCGCTGCCCCCGCAGGCGCTGCTGCTGCTCGGGGCCGCCGCGCTGGCCTGCCTGGCCCTGGACCTGCTCTTCCTGCTGCTCTACTCCTTCTGGCTGTGCTGCCGCCGGCGCAAGACCGAGGACCACCTGGACGCCGACTGCTGCTGCACCGCCTGGTGCGTCATCATCGCCACGCTGGTGTGCAGGTGAGGGCGGGGCCTGGCCGGGGCGGGGCCTAGCGCGTCATCACGCTGGTGTGCAGGACAGGGGCGGGGCCTAGCGGGGAGGGGCCGGGGCGGGGCCTTGTGTGTCATCAGGCTGGTGTGCAGGTGAGGGCGGGGCCTGGAGGGGAGGGGCCGGGGCGGGGCCTTGTGCGTCATCGCCACGCTGGTGTGCAGATGAGGCGGGGCCTAGCGGGGAGGGCGGGGCCGGGGCGGAGGGCGGGGCCGCCGGCAGGGGCAGGGCCTCCCGCGCCTCACGGCCTCGCCTGTCCCAGCGCCGGCATCGCCGTGGGCTTCTACGGCAACGGGGAGACCAGCGACGGCGTCCACCGGGCCACCTACTCGCTCCGCCACGCCAACCGCACGGTGGCGGGGGTCCAGGACCGCGTGAGTGCTGCGCGGGCGGGGCCCGGGCTCAGGGCTCCCCGGTGGGCAGCGCAGGTGTGGGACCGCGGGAGGGGGACGGCGGGCTCACGGCTCCCGCTCCCCGCGCAGGTGTGGGACACGGCGGCCGCCCTGAACCTCACGGCGGAGCCCGGCCTGCAGAGCCTGGAGCAGCAGCTGGCCGCCCGGCCCGAGCCCCTGCGCGCGGTGCGGCGGCTGCAGGGCCTGCTGGGCGCGCTGCTGGGCTACACGGCCGCCATCCCCTTCTGGAGGAACGCCGCCGTGTCCCTGGAGGCGCTGGCCGAGCGGGCGGACCTCTACGACTGGTACAGGTGCGCCGCCCGCCCTCCTGCCCACGCTTTCTCCGCCAGGGCCCCGCCCCCAGGCCTCCTCCAGGCCCTGGGCTGTGGGGTTGGAGGGTCGGGTCTGCAGCAGCTTCTGGCAGGAGTCCTGGGCATCCTGAGCATCGGCCTGCAGGCCACATGGCCCAGAAAGGCCCTCTGGGCCGGCTGTCAGCCTGGCTCTCTGGACGCCAGCCAGCCCTGCCCAGTCCCTGTCCTTACCCCCGAGCCCGCACCCCACGCCCCCGTCCTCCTGTCCCGCAGGTGGCTGGGCTACCTGGGCCTGCTGCTGCTGGACGTGGCCATCTGCCTGCTGGTGCTGGTCGGCCTCATCCGCAGCTCCAAGGGCACCCTCGTCGGGTGAGTCCCCCTGAGTCAGCCCTCCTCGCCCTCCTTCCTCACGGGTCAGGCCCCGGGGTGCCCCTCACTGGGTGCTAACTGGCTGTCGTTGCCCAGGGTCTGCCTGCTGGGTGTCCTGGCGCTGATCGTCAGCTGGGGCGCGCTGGGCGTGGAGCTGGCCGCGGCTGTGGTGAGTGGCAGCGGATCCCTGTCTGCTGGGCCGTCGGGGGGGGGGCACACTGCTCGCCCTTCCCCCTCCCGTGGGTCATGAGGGCCCCCAGGGGCGGCCTGTCCTTGGCACAGCAAGTCAGGCCCCCAGGGCCAGAGGCCGGGGTCCTACCGCCTGTTCAGGGGGTGGGGTGACCAGGCTCTGCTGAGAGTGGAGGGTTGGGGGGCCTAGCTTGGTAACCCCACTTTCCTTGCCTGCGTCCCCCCAGGGCTCCAGTGACTTCTGTGTGGATCCCGACACCTACGTGACCAGGATGGTGGAGGAGCACGCGGTGCTGAGCGGAGGTGAGCCTGCGGCCGCGCCTGACCAGCACCGGGGCGGGCGGGGCGGGGCGGGGAGGCCCATGGAGCGCGGCCGACCTCCTCGCCCTGACGGACCCTGGTCCGGGTCCGGGTCCGGGTGTGGGTCCAGGTGTGGATCCGGGTGTGGGTCCGGGTCCGGGTCCGGGTGTGGGTCCGGGTGTGGGTGTGGGTCCGAGCAGGGGGGTGGCAGGCGGGCAGCCAGTCCAGGCTCTCTCCGGCTGCAGCAGGCTCGGTCTGCTGGGCTTGCAGGTCAGGACGGGGAGGGGAGGGGGGCCCTTTAGGGGCTGCTTGAGGGGGTGGGACAGGCCGGCCACCTGTGCGCTGGGCCCTCGCTGGGACTCGGCCGCGTGCCTTTCTCTTTGGGTGACACTGGCTTCGGGTCTCCCTGAGCAGGTGCTCCCGCGCTCAGGTCCCTGTCTGCTGCCCCCGGGAGAGAATCGGGCACCCCGTGCCGCACGTGGGGCACTCCGGGCAGAGGGTCTGGGTGCCCCAGGCTCCCTGGAGGCCACACCCACCCTCGCCCGTGAACGTGGGCACTCACCCCAGGGCTCAGACAGACTGACACCCAGGCCATGCCCACCACGTGGACCTGCAGACACGCACACACGTGCCAGTGCATGTGCACCCACAGAAGGCAGTGTGCACGCAGATATGCACACAGATGTGTCTGCACACATGTGTGCTCGTGTGAGCACCTCGTAGCCGCGTGCACACAGGCAGGGAAGGGGCAGTCGCTGAGCCGCCAGCCTCTCTCCGCAGACACCCTGCAGTACTACCTGGCCTGCTCGCCCCGCGCCGCCAGCCCCTTCCAGCAGGTGAGAGCTCGCTGCCCCCAGGCCCCACCTCCCCGCAGCCCGGGAGGCCGCCCGGGCACCACCCGCCCTTCATCTGAATGTCCGCAGCCACGGCCCACGCTCAGCCTCTGACCCCGGGCCATGGGCAGGCGGCTGGGCGAACCCCGGGCCGATGTCACTAAGAGCCCCTGTGGGTGCCTGCTGATGCCCCCCACCCCTGGGACCCACTCCTGGGTGTCCTGGGTGGCGCGGGGCCAGCCCTAAGGGCACAGCCAGCGGGTGGGCGTGGCGGGGCCCGGGCAGCCTCGTCCAGGAGGGTCCTGTGTCCCCCCTGGGATAACTGGACCGGAGCAGGCGGGGTCTGAGGGGCAGCTGAGCCTGTGCCCGCCGCTCCCCACGACCGGAGCCCCTGCCTTAAAGATGCTGTGCTGCTGTGCCTGGGCCCCTGCGGCCGGGGACAGTACCCGCCAGTACCCCTCGGGCCCCGAGTGGGCAGGGCCGCGGGGGTGGGGGGACAGGCTGCTGGCTGCTGCCACGCCGCTCTCTCGCAGACGCTGTCAGGCAGCCACAAGGCGCTGGTGGAAATGCAGGACATCGTGGCCGAGCTCCTGAGGACCGTCCCGCGGGAGCACCCGGCCACCAAGGTGAGGCCACCGCCGGTCACCCCGTCCCCGAGGGGTGTGGTGGGTCTTTAAAAGCTTCCGCCTCTTCCTTTGACCATCACGTGAATCCTTCGTATTTAGAAAGAGGCAACGGACCAGACAAAGACCCACCTGGGCAGGACCCTGCCATGGTGTGTCTCCGGGGCGTCCCAGGGACGGGACTGCTTTCCGGTGCTCCAGGCCCCGCCTGGGACACGCACACACACGCGTGCGCACACGGTCCGCAGCCCACCCCGGGCTCCCGCCTCCGCTCCTGGTGTTTTGCCCCTGAGTGGGGAGGTCGGTGGGTCGGCTGCTTGGGTTTCCTCAGTCACCGGGCGGCTTAGACATCGGTGCCTCAGCCCTGGAGGCTCAGGCCACGGCCAGGTGTGGGCAGGCTGGCTGCCCTGGTCTGTCTCCTTGGCACGCAGGCCCGTCACAGTGCGGGCACACAACGGAGACGCACACGGCACAGATACAACAAGGCAGACGCTGCAGTGCACACAACACAGACACAATGCAACACGCACAGCGCATACACCACAGTGTAGACGCACAACAACGGAGACGCACACGGCACAGATACAACAAGGCAGACGCTGCAATGCACACAACACAGACACAATGCAACACTCACAGCGCATACACCACAGTGTAGACGCACAACGGAGACGCACACGGCACAGGTACAACAGCATAGACTGCAGTGCAGTCGGCGTGGACGCCATGCGGACAGCCACGTGGACGCACTGCAGCCCAGTTGCACGGCCGGGCCCGCTCTGCGCCGTGTTTCCGGGAACGTGTGCTATTTGAAAGGTGGTAGAAACCTCCCTTTAACTGTTCCTGGAATTGCAACCTTTAAAAGAGCCGGCCACGTCAGGAGAGCAGGTGTTTGCCCCTCCTGCCACGGGAAAGGACCACGTAGCGGTGGCTGCCGTGACGGGCTTCTGCGGTCTGCCCCGGCCTCCTCCGCTGTCCCCACAGCCGGCCCAGGGCTCTGGGGACGCGGTTTCTAGAAGCCCACAGGCTGAGGGCGGCCTCGAGGCAGGGCGGGGTGGGGCCTGGGCTCCCCCGCTGACCGCGTGCTGACCCGGCGGCGTGTGTCCCCAGGACCCTCTGCTCCGCGTGCAGGAGGCGCTGAACGGCACGGAGGTGAACCTGCGGCACCTCACGGCGCTGGTGGACTGCCGCAGCCTGCACCTGGTGAGCCCGGGGCCGGGGGGGGGGGGGGGGGGGCAGCCCCGCCCGGGGGCCAGCGTGTCCGCTCACTTGCCTCCGTCTCCGCCTGGCTGCGCCCTCCGCCTCAGGACTACGTGCAGGCGCTGACCGGCCTCTGCTACGACGGCGTCGAAGGCCTCATCTACCTGGCCGTCTTCTCCTTCGTCACCGCCCTCATGTTCAGCTCCATCGTCTGCAGCGTCCCCCACACCTGGCAGCACAAAAGGTGAGGCCCGAGGCCCCAGGCCCGCAGCTCCCCACCCTGCCTCACCGCCCCCGCCCTGCAGTGGTCCCCGCCCCGCACTGGCCCTGCCCCCGCCCTGCAGTGGTCCCACCCCGCACTGGCCCTGCCCCCGCCCCGCAATGGCCCCACCCCACACTGGCCCCGCCCCGCACTGGCCCTGCCCCCGCCCTGCAGTGGTCCCCGCCCCGCACTGGCCCTGCCCCCGCCCCGCAATGGCCCCGCCCCACACTGGCCCCGCCCCGCACTGGCCCTGCCCCCGCCCTGCAGTGGTCCCCGCCCTGCACTGGCCACTCCAGGGAACCGCCTTCCCACACCCTGTCCCCTCCCCGTGCAGACGTGCAAGGTTTGGTTGCGGGGCCCACCTGGCTGCTGTGGGGACTGAAGCTGTGCAGGGGGGCCTCTGGCGGCCCTGCCTCAGTTTCCCCAGTCAGCACTGGGTCGGATGGTGTATCGGGTGCCGGCCCTTCCTCCAGGGCCCCCAGGGCTTACCTCCCACCTCCCGCCTCCTGCCTGGGGGCCGTGGCTGCTCTCGGGGGCCGGCAGCTTGGATGGTGATCCCTGTCAGAGCTCTTCCCTGACCCTCTGTGCTCTGCTGTGGAGGTGACGCTGCTGCTGCTGCTGCTGTGGGTGGTGGTGCTGGTGCTGGTGATGGTGGTAGAGATGGTGGGGATGGTGATGATGGTGGTGGTGGTAGTGATGATGGCAGTAGAGATGGTGGTGCTGGTGATGGTGTGATAGTGATGAGTGGCGTAGAGATGGTGATGATGATGGTGATGGTGGTGGTAATGGTGCCGGTGTGATAGTGATGGTGCTGGTGGTTGTGATGATGGCGGTAGAGGTGGTGGTGATGGTGCTGGTGTGATGATGGTGGCGGTAGAGATGGTGGTGATGGTGGTGGTGGCAGTGATGATGGGGGTAGAGATGGTGATGACAGTGGTGGTAGTGATGGTGTGATAGTGATGAGTGGGGTAGAGATGGTGATAATGATGGTGGTAGTGATGGTGATGGTGATAATGATGATGGGGGTAGAGATGGTGGTAATGGTGATGGTGTGATAGTGATGAGTGGCGTAGAGACAGTGGTGGTGATGGTGATGGTGGTGGTGTGATAGTGATGGTGTTGGTGGCAGTGATGATGGGGGTAGAGATGGTGGTGACGATGGTGATAGTGATGGCGTGATAGTGATGAGTGGCGTAGAGATGGTGATGATGATGGTGGTGGTGATGGTGATGGTGATGGTGATGATGGGGTAGAGATGGTGGTGATGGTGATGGTGATGGTGATGATGGGGTAGAGATGGTGGTGATGGTGATGGTGATAGTGATGATGGGGTAGAGATGGTGGTGACGGTGGTGATAGTGATGGTGTGATAGTGATGAGTGGCGTAGAGAGGGTGATGATGATGGTGGTGGTGGTGGTAATGGTGATGGTGTGATAGTGATGGTGATGGTGGCAGTGATGATGGGGGTAGAGATGGTGGTGACGGTGGTGATAGTGATGGTGTGATAGTGATGAGTGGCGTAGAGACGGTGATGATGATGGTGGTGGTGGTGGTGGTGATGGTGGTGGTGATGATGGGGTAGAGATGGTGGTGATGGTGGTGATGGTGGTGGTGTGATAGTGATGGTGTTGGTGGCAGTGATGATGGGGGTAGAGATAGCGGTGATGGTGGTGATAGTGATGGTGTGATAGTGATGATGGGGTAGAGATGGTGGTGATGGTGGTGATGGTGGTGGTGACGGTGATGATGATGATGGTGGTGGTGGTGATGATGGTGGTGGTGGTAGTGATGATGGTAGAGACGGGGTGGTTTCTCCTGCTCCCCCTTTTCATGGGTGGACAGTCCCCATGCCTGCGCAGGCCGAGCCAGGGCCTGGTTCCCCGTCTCGCATCCCGCAGCCCATGGTGTGTGGGCGCCCAGCGGGGATGGGGGCCAGCGGCACCTGCGCAGAGCCGGCCCGCGGTCGGCGGGGCCGCCCGGGCTCAGCCCGAGCCGGTCCGGTCACACCCCCTCCCCCCACAGAGGCCCCGAGGAGGACGGGGAGGAGGAGGCGGCCGCGGGGCCGCGCCAGGCCCATGACAGCCTCTACCGCGTGCACATGCCCAGCCTGTACAGCTGCGGCAGCAGCTACGGCAGCGAGGCCAGCATCCCGGCCGCGGCCCACACCGTCAGCAACGCCCCGGTCACCGAGTACATGTGAGCGGAGGGGGCTGGGCGCCGGCCGCAGCTCAGGGCCAGAGAGGGCGCTGTGGGCGGGCCGGGGAGGCGTGCGGAGAAGCAGGGACTGTCCACGGGGGGCCACGGAGGCGGTCAGGTGGAGGAAGGGCCCAGGCCTGGCCACATGGGGGGTTGGCAGGCGGGCACCTTGGGCCCACCCTGAGCCCTGGTCACTGTGTTGGGCTCACGGCACCCCTGGGCCCTTGCGAGCCGAGCCAGGCGCATCCAGGGAGGGTGTGCCGGCCTGCTAGCATCAGGATGGGAGGGCGCAGAGCAGGTGGGCACACCGCAGGCTCGGGACGGGCCCTCGGGCTCCGAGCTGGGCCACGGCCGCGGTCACTCAGCCCCTCTCCTTGCTCCTCAGGAGCCAGAACGCCAACTTCCAGAACCCCCGCTGCGAGAACACGCCCCTCATCGGGCGCGAGTCCCCGCCGCCCTCGGTAAGTCTGCGGAGGCAGGTGGGGCCGGCGTGCCTGCAGCGGCCAGAGTGGGCGGCCGGGCCCGACTTCTCTCTTCCCACCTGCCTCTTCCTTTCCTCTTTGTAACTCTGAGCTTGCCCCGCTCCGGGCCCTGGCCGGCGCAGCCTGGGTCCCCTCGGCCCTCGGGGCTGAGACGTGGAAAAGGGGGCACGCGGTTTGTGCTGAAGAGACGGGGCTCACCGAGAGCAGCCAGGCGGCTTCCTGGCAGCGGCGGCTGCAGGGGCAGGTGCCAGAGCGACGAGGCGCTTTGCTGGGGAAATCCCTGCCCACGCGTGCGGGGGCCCCTGTGCCCGGCCGCACGGAGCTGGCCTGGGGACTGGGCACCGCGGGATGGACACGTCCCACTGCCCGCTCACCGCCCCTCCGGCCCCGTGGCCTCTGGCCGGCCCACACCTGGCGTTGAGGCCGCTCTCTGTCTCTCTCTCCCACACCCCACCCCTCCCTGGGCCCGCCCTCCCAGCGATATCTGGCTGCCCTGGACTCTGGCAGCCCCACGGGCTGGCAGTTTAAGCCCCTGGACAGTGCCTGACCGAGGTGGTGGCCGTGCCCTCAGCGACAGGTACTGACCCACCTGGGTCCCCTGCCCTGTGCTCCGCCCCCACCTGTGCCCGTGCCTCACGCCCTCTGCTCACAGCCCCCTCGCCAGGCTGTCCTTGAGCCCAGCTGGCGGGCCTGGGCTGTTCCAGATCAGGGCTGGGTGCTTGTGGCCTCCAGCCCAGCGTGAGGCCTCTGGTGCTGGCCCGCGACCGTCACTCGCCTCGGTACAGTGAGCTCCCCACCCCCCGGCCCGGCTGCAGGCGGCCACAGCCCCCCGTCCCCTCCCAGCAAGGAGGCCTGACCCCGAGCCCTGGGCACGCTGCGCTGGGTCCCGGTGTGCCCACGGCCTGGCCCCCGCGATCCCCCTGCACGTTCGTGCACCGGGTGGTGGGCGGCTGCAAGCTGCTCCCGGCGTCCCGAGCTGAGCACCCGCATGGCTGCGCCCGGCCTCGCTGCATGTCCCGGAACGGCATGCCTGGTGCCCGGCTCCTCCCGGGTCCCTCCGGCCCCCACTGGGCACGAGCAGCCTTCTCCCCACCAGCACGTCCGGGGCCAGAGCGGGGACTGGGCGGGTAGCGTGTGGCCGTGGCGTCAGCGCCAGGCTCGGTGGCACCGACGGCCTGTGGCGTGTGCCTGGGCATTTATCCCCCCCCCCCCCAGGCGTGTGACCTTTACACCCGCCTGATCTTCGCACATGCCTCCTCCAGGTGTCAGCGAGCACGTACATGCAGGCACACACACCCCGCACACACACGCACACCCATGTACACACACGCACTGAGACGGGCGGCTGAGACCGGCTCTCCGCCCCGGCCGCCTCGGTCCCTGCGCCCGTGCCCGGGGAGACCGGAGCGGGCAGCACCGCAGCCCACAGCCCGCAGCCCGCCCGCCTGAGCGCTGGAGTGGCTGACGTGACCCTCAGCCTGCGGGGAGAGGCCGGCTTGTGGGTGGCCTGCGGGGCCCGGCATGGAGCCTCTGGGCGCTGGTGAGGGGGTGCAGGCTCTGCCTGGCACCCACATGCCCGGTCCGGCCTGGGCCCTCGGCGGCTCAGGGTCCTGGTGCCGGGCCAGCAGCCCCTCGGAGCCCGCCCCCAGGGCTGCCAGTCACGCTGTCCTGCCCGCCTGCCCCCAAGGCCCACACCCTCTCACTCGCCTCCTGTCTCCCGCAGTACACGTCCAGCATGAGAGCCAAATACCTCGCCACAAGCCAGCCGCGCCCCGGCTCCAGCGGCAGCGGCCACTAGACGCCGGCAGCCACGCCCACGTGCCAACGCCCTGCCCCTCCCCCAGCCAGCCGCTCCCCACGCCCGGCGTCCCCCCCTTCCTGCAGGGACCCTGCCAGAGGACACGAGGGAGCTCTGAGCCCACCCTGACCGCGGGGTCCACGCCTGGACACGGAGCGCTGTCACGGACGCCAGGGCCCTGCGGCCCCATCTCCCCCTTCCCCCTAAGGATTCCGTCCGCAGAGCCCGCTCCGGGCCAACGGCAGCCCCTGGGGCTCGGACCCTGTGGACCTGCGCCTCCAGCTCAGCCTCCCCCGCCCTGTCGCCTGGTCACTCGCTGCCTCTGCCCAGCGCCTGCTCCTCTGCGTGTCTCGCTCTTTCCCCCCAACCACAGGCCCCTCCCGCCCGCCGCTGAGCCCTGCGCCACCTTCTCCGCCTCCACCAGCCTCGCTCTCTCCCTCAGCTCCTGCCGCCCGAGGACAGCCGGGTCGCCAGCCTGGCTGCTCACCGAGGTGCCAAACCCCTCCCCCAGGCCTGGCACCTGTTCCGGTTCATTTGCACTAACCGCTCTCCTCATCTCTAGGGCACGTGGGCTGCTCAGCCCTTCCCGGTCCCCCCTCACCCGGACAGGTGCCGCGTCTGGAGCCGGCCTCAGCGGGGGTGGGGGGAGTTCGCCCCAGTTGCCTGTGAATGAGCCCTTGGCCCTGCCCCGGGACTAACCACTAACCTCACCTCCCCCCTCCCCGGTGCTGCGGCCCAGTGGCCAGTGTGAGCCCGAGCGCGGGGACCAGGGGGCGCTCGCTGCGGTGCTGCCCCGGAGCTGTGGGCTGTCGGACCAGGGCCCCCGCGGCCTCGGTCTCCCTACCTGTGAAGTGGTGCTTCTGGCTTCAGTACAGTGTTCGCTGCCTGCCAGGGAGGGCCGGCCCCCGGGAGCGCCCGGCCAGGGCCGCCCGGCAGCGAGGGAGGCCCAGCAGCCGGCCGGGCATTACGGACTGCGGGCCCCGCTCCAGAGGCCCCTCCCCCCGGAACCTCCTCTCTGTGCTGGTGTCTGGGACCAAAGGGGGAGGATGGCCCCGGGCAGCCTCTGCCAGGAAGGACGCCCTGGGCCCCTGGGCGCGGTGAACCTCACTGTCCAGCGTGCTCTAGGCCCCGCCCCTCCCCCCTCTCCCCCTTCCCTCCCCCACTGTCCCCCCCTCCGGTCAGGAGGGGCCCAGCAGTCCTGCTCGGCTCTGGCCGTGTCCTGCCGCTGCTGGGGCCACTGCTGTGAGCCCCCCCACACACACACCATGTGACCGTGCAGCGGACAGCGCCCACCGGACCTGGGCCTGGGAGGCCGCCGGGTGGGCGGCGGGTGTGCGCTGGCCTGTGACCCCGAGTCCAGTCGCGGGGATCGGGGCTTCGGACTGAGCTCCGTGCACGGCGCAGGGGGCCACACTGGTTTTCTTCTCTGTCCTGGGGTCTCTGCTCATCCTGCCCCTGCCATTGGCCTCCGCTCCCGCTCCCGTACCCGCAGGCCAGGGCCCTCAGGCCCCACTGCATCTTGGGGGGCAGGCCGTGACCCCGTGGGGCGCAGGGAGGCCCCAAAGCCCCCCAGGGCTCAGCCCTGCCGGCTGGTGAGCAGGTGGCGGTTTGGGCCACCCCACCCCACGTCACTATGCAATCCCTCCCAGCACCAGCCCTGCCCCCCCGCCCGGCCCCGGGGTCCATGGAGCCCATGGCCGTGTCCCATGCACATGATCCATCTCCCTGTGACAAGACCCCGGCCCTGGCCCGCCCCCTGGTTAACCCCGGAGCCGCCCCCCTGAGGCCTGAGCCACGGGTCCCGGACCTTCCACCCCGCCCCCCAGGGCCTGGCTGGGGGGCTGTCACTGTTTTTTTTTTGGGGGGGGGGGCGTTGCCTTTTTTTTTTTGTTTTTCAAATGCGTTTGGGTTTGATTTTTTTTATATCTTTGGGGCTTTATTTTTCTTGGCAAATACTAAAATCTCATCATTGTAATCTCTGTGGTTTCTATTCAGCTTGGGTTTCATGTTTTAAAATAAACAATTTTAAAAAACAGGCCTCTGCGATTTTAACTCCTGAGGGAGTCGAGGGGGGATTGGGGGAACTGCGTGCAGGGCCTGGAGGGCGCGGGGGGATCAGACCAATGCCTGGGGCAGGGCATCTGGTCAGGGAGCTGTGACGGTGTGTGTGTGGGGGGGGGGGACAGGGCCGAGTCTGGAGGCCCCATAACGGCTGCCTGTGCAGCCATGTGCAGGGGGCCCCATGGCAGCGGGGGGCCCGGAGAGAGGAAGGGGTGGAGGGGGGCGAGAGGAGCTTCCTGAGCCTTGGTGCCGGCTCCTGCTCCCGGCCACCAGGGTGGGGGCCCGTGCTCCCCAGGGCAGTGCGCCTCCAGTGCTGCCAGGAGGCCACACAGACGTCACCCAGGGAACCCCAACCCGCCCGCCCAGGGGGAAGCATCATTGTTCTCATCGGAGACACCTTCAGAGGGACCCACACACTCCTGTGGGAGCTGGAGGATCACAAAGCAAAAGAGTGAAAGCTGTTGTGGGACATTCCCACATCCCTCACACCGAACCCTCAACCCAACACCTAACCGTAACCACACCCCATCCTCAACCCTAACCCTAACCCATCCCTCACACCGAACCATACGGTAACCCTAACCACACCCAATCCTCAACCCTAACCCTAACCATGTCACTAACCCGAACCCTAACCCTAACCATGTCACTAACCCGAACCCTAACCCTAACCATGTCACTAACCCGAACCCTAACCCTAACCATGTCACTAACCCGAACCCTAACCCTAACCATGTCACTAACCCGAACCCTAACCCTAACCATGTCACTAACCCGAACCCTAACCCTAACCATGTCACTAACCCGAACCCTAACCCTAACCATGTCACTAACCCGAACCCTAACCCTAACCATGTCACTAACCCGAACCCTAACCCTAACCATGTCACTAACCCTAACCCAAACCCTAACCCATCCTTAACACCTAACCATAAAGGTAACCCTAACCATATCCCAATCCTCAGCCCTAACCTTACCCATATCACTAACCCTAACCCTCAACCCAACACCTATCCTGAACCCTATACCTAACCCTAACACTGCCCCTGACCCTATGCCTAATCCTAGCCCTAGGCTTAATGCTAACCTTAACACTAACCATATCCTTAACCCTAACCCTATCCTTAACTGTAAACCTATCCTTAACCCTAACCCTAGGCATATCCCTAACCCAACTTTAACCCTAACCCTAACCCTAAACCTATCCCTGACTCTAGCCCTAATCCTAACCATGACCCCCTTTCCTAACCATAACCCTATTCTTAACCCTAAACCTAAGCATATCCCTAATCCAACTTTAGCCTTAATCCTAAACCTATCCTTATCCCAAACCCTATCCCTATCCTGAACCTAAAACCTAACCCTATCCCTATCCCAGACTTAACCCGAACACTAAAACTAACCGAACCCTAATGCAGGTCAAAGCATAACCGAAAACCTAACCCTAACACGACCAGAACCAGAATTCTAACCCTTACACTATCCTTATCCCTAAACCTAAGCCTAACCCTATCTCAAACCCTAAACTTAACCCTAGTCTTTTTTTTTTTTTAATATATTTTATTGATTTTTTACAGAGAGGAAGGGAGAGGGAGAGAGAGTTAGAAACATCGATGAGAGAGAAACATCGACCAGCTGCCTCCTGCACACCCCCCACTGGGAATGTGCCCGCAACCAATGTACATGCCCTTGACCGGAATCGAACCTGGGACCTTTCAGTCCGCAGACCAACGCTCTACCACTGAGCCAAACCTGTTTCGGCTTAACCCTAGTCTTAACCCTAACCCTATCCACAACCTAGATCCTTACCCTATACCTCACCCTATACCTATCCCTAACCCTAACCCTATCCTGAACCTGAACCCTAATCCTAACCCTAATGCAGGTCAATGCATAACCCTAAACTTAATCATCTCTAAACACTAACATGAACATGAACCCGAACCCTAACCCTAACCCTGACATCTCTAACCCTATCCCAAACCCAAGCCCTAGCCCTATACCTATTCTTAACCCTAACTCTATCCCTAGGCCTAATCCTAACCCTAGTCCTAGCCCTTACCTTATACCTATTCTTAGTCCTAACCCTAACCCTATCCCTATCCCTAACCCTAATCCTAACCCTAGCCCTAACCCTATACCTATTCTTTTTAAAAATATATATATTTTTTATTGATTTTTTTACATTGAGGAAGGGAGAGAGATAGAGAGCTAGAAACGTCGATGAGAGAGAAACACAGACCAGCTGCCTCTTGCACACCCCGTACTGGGGATGTGCCCGCAACTAAGGTGCATGCCCCTGACCGGAATCGAACCCTAGACCTTTCAGTCCGCAGATTGACACTCTACCACTGAGCCAAACCCGTTTTGGCCCTATACCTATTCTTAACCCTAACTCCATCCCTAAGCCTAATCCTAGCCCTAGCCCTAACTCTAACCTTATCCCTAACCCTGACCCTAGCCCTGACCCAGAACAGTGTTAGGGTCAGGGGGTTAGTGTTTAGGGATAGGGTTAAGGCTAGGGTGTTAGTGTCAGGATTAGGGGGTTAGTGTTAGTGTTTAGGATTAGGGGGTTCAGTTAGGGGAGCCTGTGCCTGTGGGGGTGCTGAGGGGTGCAGGCCGGGGAGAAAGGTTCAGGCAGAGCCTGGCCCAGCGGGTGTGGAGGGGAGAGGCCAGGGGAGGGGAAGGCAGTTCAGGGCACTGCAGGCAGAGGGGCCTTAGGGAGGGGTCAGCGGACCAGTGGGCGGCAGCTGGACGGGGACGGGGTGCCGGGCCGTGTGGTCGGGCATGCTCTGGGCAGCGTCCTCGGAGGAGGAGGCCGGGCTGGGCTTGGGGACAGGCTGTCAGGGCTCCGGGGCAGGGCGGCCCTATAGCTGCTTTGTGGGGGTCAGCTGCCCGTGGGGGTCAGCGGTGAGCACCGCACAGAGGAGCAGCCCGCCCCAGAGCCAGGCCAGCCGGGGCCGGCAGGACGGGACCCCGCGGCACGTTGGGACCCTGAGGTGAGCTTTTCAGAGCGGGGGGGGGGGGGGGGGGGGGGGGAAGGAGCGGGATGGAGGAGTCTGTCTTCCCTGCCCCGGGGCTGTGCCCTCCAACAGGGCCAGATCCTGGGAAAGGCGAAGCCACCACCTCTGGCCGCCAGGTGGCGCCAAAGGCCCGCGGTGTTTGGTCCATGGAGGGTGCTGGTGGCCTGGGGTGGGGGTACAGGGAGCTGTGTGAGCATATAACCTGGGCAGCCCCCAGGGCCTGGGTGCCGCCTGCCATGGTCCCATGTGCTCCGGGCCCTCCAAGGGCATCCACCAGCCTGGGGCGGGCACCCACGTCCTCCAGCTCCCCCAGCTCCGTCCTGAGGGCGGGCCGGTGCAGCCCAGCGGGTCCCCTCAGGTCTGGGAAGGCCCTGCTCGCTGCTGGCTGGTCCTGGGCGCCAGGCTGCCTCTACCTCCCCACTTCGCAGGCGTGAGATCTGAGGGCCCCACCTGTGCCGGGCCTGGAGCCCCTCGTCCACACTGAGGATCGGCAGAGCCTTCCGCTCCGCTTGACCCCTCGGGGAAGCCGGCTGGGCCGGCAGGAAGCAGCTCAGGTGAGCAGAGGCCCCGCCTGCCACCCGGCCCGCCGCCCTGGCCGCCGGAAGCTGCGGGAGGCGTCACCGGCCGGCAAAGGGGGGTGTTTATCTGACACGCGGCAGCCAGGCCGAGGCCAGGCCGGGCGAAGGCCCGGTGTGCGCGGTGGGACAGTGGTGCCTCCAGAGGGTGGGCATGCCGAGGGCCTGTCTTCGCCCCGGGCACCTGGGGAGGCCCTTCTGGACGGAGGCGTTCCCCGGCCCTCAGCCTCTCCCTCCAGAGGCAGAGGACCGAGGCCGCAGCCCCGGGGCCGCTGGGAGCGGCCTCAGCTCAGCTCGGGGGCGGCCTCCATCTGCCACACCTGTGCCCAGGCCCTGCCAGCTCTGTGGGGCAATGCCAGCTGCCGGAGGAGCCGGGTCTGACTCACAGGCAGGAAGGAGGCTGTGGCCTCGGCAGCTGCTGTGTCACTTCCCCTCACCACCCCACGCTGCTCCCCCAGCGGGTGCACGGGGTGCCCAGCGGCCACAGGGGTCGCACCGTGACAGCGCCGTCCCCGTCCCAAGGCCTCTGGAGGCCACGCTCTGCCTGTCCACGGCAAGGTGGGGTCAGACCCCCCAGGCGCCCACAGCCAGGAGCCACGGGCAGGGCTGTGATGGGCTGACTGTGGCCGGTGGGTGGTGCCGGCACGCTGCCCCCAGGGGTTGTGGGCAGGGGAGTGAAGCACTAGTTCCTTTCTGATGTGTTGCTCAGGCTGAGCTCGGAGCAGAGTGGAGGCGGGAGCCCCAGGGAGGTCGGGAGGAAGAGGAAGTGAGGGCTGCCCAGGCTGCTCCGGGAGGAGGAGGGGGGCAGGGGGAGTCCCAGGAGCAGCCCCTCCAGCCGGGACCCATGTGTGCATGTGTGCGGGTGTGTGTGCATGTGTGCGGGTGTGTGCGCGCGCGCGAATGCAGCTGCCCAGAGACCAGCACGGGGAGGCCAGGGTCGGGGCCAGCGTGGCCTCCGGGTTGGGGCTTCACCCCCCAGCTGCCAGGCCCTGGGCTTCACCCGCTCCCCAGCCTCCCCATCGGCAGTGCGGCCGGCAGGGGCCTCTGTGGCTGAGGGCAACAGGAGGCCCGTCAGGCCCCAGCGAGTCCCTTCGCTCCTCTCCTCCCCCTGCGAGCGAGCGAGCGAAGGCAATGACAGGACCGGAGCACGGCCCGAGGGCACCTTTATTCACAGCGAGGACGTCACCATAGCAGCCACAGGATTCCCTGAGCACGGTCCCTCGTTGTCCGCCTGCCACTGCGTGGTGGCAGGAACAGCAGCAGACAGACCGGCCAGGCGGCCGCCAGCGGAGTCAGCGCCACTCGGTGCCTCCAGCTTCGACCCGGAGGTATCACACCCTCCCCATCCCCGAGAACAAGACACGGACACCCCCTTCCCACAGCCCGCCCCCCTGAAACAGCACAGTAAAAACACTGCCACGTATTTACAGACACGCCCACTGTGGGCGACTGGCCTCCACTTGGGAGAGGATACGCTCAGCTCTGCCCCCACATCCGGGGACAAAGGCAAGACTCTGAGGGGCAGGAGCCCCGACCCCGAGGCTGGGGGGGACTGTCCTCCCAGCCACAGCTTCTGTCCAGGCTCTGCCGTCCTGGGGCTCCGGGCACGGGGCCTCAGCGGGCAGGGAGCCCGCCGCCCCCAGAGCCGCCCTCACCGTGGCCGCGGCCGGACGGCGCCCGCTCCTCGCCGAGCAGAGCGGCCAGCGGGCACACGCACACTCACAGAGGCACGGCCCAGCCGCCGGCCGCCAGCGCCACGCCGGGGCGGCCCACAGGGCCGGGCCCTTCGGGCGCCGGGACGGTCTCAGCGCGGTGGCTGGAGGCCTAGAATCCAGCAGTGTGGGGGCACCAGGGCGTGTCGGGGTACAGGCGGCAGTGGATGGAGCGGAACCTGCGGGGACAGGGGGCCTGGTCAGCGCGGGGTGGGGCCCCTGTGCGCTCGCAGGCGGCCTGGGGCACGCGATGGTCCCGCCCGCCGCCCCCCGCCCCGGCCCCCGCCTCCCCACCTGGAAGGGTCGGCCTCCACCGAGAAGGGCCCCTTAATGTGGACGGTGTTCCGCTTGTTCTCGAAGGTCCCGTAGCTCAGGGTGACCTGCGGGCAGAGGCGGAGTAGTGGGGGGGGGGGGCGACACCCCGCCTCGGCCCCAGGCTGCCACGTGGCCCGCTGCCCCCCTCAGGCCGAGAAGGGAATGAGGGCCGAGGGGCTGTGAGCGAGGGAGACCCCGTGTGCAGGACGAGGCCCGGAAGGCAGAGGGTCTGTGCGCCCTGCGGGAGGTGACGGGGGTGGGTGCAGCAGCAGCCCCCGTGCCGCCCGGCCGTACCTGCTCGTGCAGCCGGGCGGCCGGCACCTGCTGCAGGCTCTCCAGGTGCGAGTGGAAGAGGCTGCTGCGGGTGAGCCGCACGCCCAGCAGCGTCTCCGCGATGTAGCCCACCGCGCAGTCGTCCGGCAGCCGGATGCGCTCCGCCGTGCTCACAAAGCGGCCGCCGCTGCGGGGCGAGAGCGAGGGCGCGCCGGCTGAGGAGGGGGCACCGCCGCCCGGCCGCCTGCCGGCCTCCCCGACCCCCCCACCCCCCCGGCTGCCTGCCGGCCTCCCCGACCCCCCCCCCCCCGGCCGCCTGCCGGCCTCCCCCGACCCCCCGGCTGCCTGCTGGCCTCCCCCGACCCCCGGCTGCCTGCCGACCCCCCGGCCGCCTGCCGGCCTCCCCCGACCCCCCCCCCCGGCTGCCTGCCGGCCCCCCCCGACCCCCCTGGCTGCCTGCCGACCCCTCCCGACCCCCCCGGCTGCCTGCCAGCCTCCCCCTCCCTGAGCCCCCCCCCCCCCCCCCCCCCCCCCCGCTCGGCCAGTCTGTGGGTTCTGAGCGGGAGCTGCCGGGGTGGCCAGGAGTCTGGCCCTGCCTGCCTGAGTGCTGGCTCCGGGTGCCTGCTGGCAGAGGGGAGACGGGGGAACCTCGCCTCAACCTGCCTGTGCACGTGGGGTTGGGGACCCCTGTTGCTGGGACGGTGGCCCCAGGCAGGCCCACATGCAGGGACACACACAAACACACACACACACACACACACACACACACACACACACACACACACGGGACTCAGGCCCCGGCGCCGGCCTGTGCGGCACTCACCTGGCCCACGGGCTCATCTTCAGGGCCAGCCCTCGGCTGATGCAGAAGCCGGCGCCGCCCGTAGCAAACCAGAAGTGGACGGGGCGCTGGGGGGGGAGGGGGGTGAGACCCTGCCCTGGGCTGCAGGCCGCCCCGCCCCCGCCCGCCCCCGCCCCGGCGTCCGGCCTGCGCACCATCGTGTTGTCGCTGAGCCTCTCGGTGGCCTGGATGGGCCGGTCCAGGCTGGGCTTGCCAATGTACACGTCCTGGGTGTGCGGGAAGCCGGCCAGCAGGCCCAGCAGCGCCCCCACGTTCACGTAGTTGTCATCGTCCACGTGGCAGAACCACCTGCGGGCGGGCGGGCGGGGGTCAGGGCGCTGCCAGGGGCGGGCCTGGCGGGGGTGCCCGGGCCCCACTCACTTCCTCCCGGACGCGATGAAATGGTCGTACTCCACCGCCATCTTGCAGGACAGGGCCTGGCGGCTGTGGGCGGCCGAGCAGTTGGTGTTGATGACGGTGCCTGTGGGGAGGGGAGGGCTGCAGAGCGGAGCGGCTCCGGAGCCAGGGCCGCGGTGGCCCGGCGCCCAGGTGACAGGGCGGGCGGGCGGGCGGGCGGGCGGCTGTCTGTCCCGGCCCCTCCCCTGGGGGACCCGGCCTGGGCACGCACTCCCTCCCGGCCGGCCGCGGGCCCATTCAGGCGGCTTTCCCAGCACCGGCCACCTGTTGCTCAAAGGGCCGGGCTGAAAGGGCCTCATCTGCATGAGAATCGGGGGGTGGGGGGTGGAGGGGCGAGCGGAGGGGCGGACGCCAGCAAACCCGCTGAGTAAACCGCTCTGGCCTCCGACCTCTGCTCTGGGAGGGACAGGGAGGGGGACGCCCCCCCCCCCCGGGAGCGGGCCCCTCGCCCCAGGTCCAGGGAGGGAGAGGGAAGGGGACGTCCCCCCGGAGTGGGGGCCCTCGCCCCAGGTCCAGGGAGGGAGGGAGGGGGACGTCCCCCTGGAGTGGGGCCCCTCGCCCCAGGTCCAGGGAGGGAGGGAGGAGGACGTCCCCTGGGGCGGGGCCCAGGTCCAGGGAGGGAGGGGGGGGGACGTCCCCCGGGGTGGGGCCCAGGTCCAGGGAGGGAGGGAGGGGGACGTCCCCCAGGAGCGGGGCCCCAGGTCCAGGGAGGGAGGGAGGGGGACGTTCCCCGGGGCGGGGCCCAGGTCCAGGCTCACCCACGCGCTGGGCCAGGGCCTCGTCCTCCCCGTCGGTGAAGATGAACGTCTGGGAGGAGAAAGGGGCCTTTCAGGCGCCTGGTGTCTCCGGCCCGGCGGGGGCAGGGCCGGGCACACCCACACCCCGCCCTGCTCTGGGCCTCGGTTTCCCCACACGAGCTGGCCGAGTGGAAGGAGGCTGGGAATTACGCAGACCCCACCCCCACCCCCACGGCGACAGCTGGGCCCAAGGTCACCGGGCAGCTGTGCAGGCACGAGCCGGGCGGGGCCGCCCAGCGCCAGGTAACCGCTCGGCGCACCTGGCGGGCACACACCCTTATTGACACAGCGCCGGCCGGGGCGGGCGGAGGGGGGACGGCGGAGGGGCGGCTCCGAGAAGCCAAGTCTCCATCCGCGGAGGACAAAGGCCCGCTGGGCAGCTGCCAAGGCCGCGGACAAAGGGTCGGAGGATGAGTCACCGCATTGTCCCCCTGTCCGGGCGCGGGCGGCGCTAACCGAGGGCCGCACACCATTTCCATACAGCTGGCCTGGTTAACCGCCCCTGGGGGCGGCCCGGCGGGCGGGCGGGCAGGGGCCCGGGGGAGGGCGGGCACCTCCCTGCTGTGGGACCCGCGGGCCGGCCGCCTTCTCCGGAGACACAGACGGTGCCCCAGCCTGCCGACCTGCTGTCCCCGTGTCCCCCACCCCGCACGCCGGCCAGCACCCCCTCCGGCTGCGGCGGGAACCGGGCTGAGCCACATCCAGGGCTCACCTGTGCCAGCAGGGCTGCCCCGGCCAGGACGGAGCCTCCGGGGCGGCGGGTCCAGGAGCTGCTGGGCCCGCCTGGGCCCGTCGGCACAGGGAGGGAGGAATGTTCCCTCCGCCGCCCGCGCCCGCCCAGCGCGTGCCGCGGGTGCTCCGGCCGGCTGAGCGGGAGCCGGGGACTCCCCACCTCGTGCCGCCAGGCGCCGGCTGCCTCCTGTGCACCGACGGAGGATCGGCATGTGCAGGCCTGGCCCGGGCCACCTGGGGCCGCCGCACCTGGCGGCCGGCTCCTCCCCCAGCCCCAGGCCCCAGCCACAGCTCAGGACCCAGGCTCGGCGCGAGGGGGCCGCGGTGGCCCCATCCACCGCCTCCCCCGGAGCCGCAGACACCGGGGCCGCACGCACAGACACGCACGGCTCCGCCAGGAATGCCGTGGGAGGCTGGGCCGGCCTGTGCGGACGCCCGGGGATTAGGAGGAAAATGCTTTCCTAATGAGATCAAGCGGGGCCTGTTCCCGCTGCAGCCCTGAAAACCGGGCCCGCGGCTACGGAGATTAAAGTCACCTTTGTGGGGAGAGGCAGCGCGGGGAGGGCCGGAGGGCGGGGCGGGCGGCGGGGCCTCGTCTCCACATCAGAGCCGCCGGCACAGGCCGTTTCCCGCCCAACCGACGGGCAGAGCCGGAGCTCTGTGCCGGGGCAGAGCGCCCTCCGAGGTGGGCGCAGGCGGGAAACCGAGGCCGGAGCGGGGCGCCCGCCCGGGCACACCCCGGGGCTGAGGAGGTGCCCGGGGACCCGGCGAGACACCCCGGGGCCCTCCCCGCTCCCGCCGCGGGCAGGAGGAGGAAGAGCAGGCGGCAGGGCTGGCGAGGGGGGGCCGCAGGAAGCGGCATTGTTCCCGGCGCCGCGGTTCGAAGAAACACAGGATGCCAGGCTCTCCCCCTCCATTGTGGCCGCTGCCACCGCCGCGGCCGCGCCCGGGAGGGGACCCCGTGGGCCCGAGGCCCAGCCCCTCACCCTGACGCCAGGGCCCGGCTCCGTGTGGCCCTGCGGCCCCGACCCCCCCCCCCCCGCTGATGGGGCCTGGACGGCTCTCTCTGGGCATTTCCGCTCGGTCTGCCCGAAGGGCGCCTCCTCCAGGAAGCCCCCCTGCCCCTCGCGGGTCAGCTGCCACTCAGACTCACAGCCTCCCTGGGTTTCCCCCACCGCAGCCCTGACTTCCTCCTCCTCTCAGCGGGGTCTGATCACCCTGCCCCGGCCAGGCGGGCCCTCTGCCCACAGGAGCTGTGCCGGGGCAGGCGGGCCCTTCCTGGGTGGGTCATCGGCAGGATGGAAGCGTAGCCTACATCTGGGGGGAGGCGTGTGCCCCCTGCCTGCCCCCGAGTGCCCGCTGGGCTCGGCGCCCAACAGCCTGCCTCTTCAAGCCCGGAAGGCAAGGCGTCCCATTGCAGAGATGGGCAGACTGAGGCTCTGAAAGGCTCGGGCCAAGACCCCGCAGCTCTGCGGGGACGGAAACCAGGGACCCTCCCGGGCAGAGAGCCCGCGCCGTCCACCACGGAGGTGCCGGGGGCCGGAGGTCACACAGCAGGGGCGGCGGGGCGGGCGGCCCGGCAGGACTGTCAGTCAGAGCCATGGGGGGGCCGGGACCCTCATCGCCAGGCAACCTGAGTGGCCAGCGCGGCGGTTCCCATGGAGCCAGCGCGCACACAGAGGCTGGGCCGTCCCGGAGAAAGGGGCTTTGTTACCTTGCCCGGCGGCCGGCGTGAGAGCCGCCCGCGCTGGGAATCCTAACGGCCCGCCCGCCGGAGCCGCTGGGAAACACGCCGTGTTCCCAGGCGCCGCCGCGGGCGCCCCGGCCCCCCCAGGCCTGCCCGGCGAGCCCCCGGCCCCTCGCCCTCGTCATGACCTCAGCAGCACCCTGACCCGGAGCGGACTCGGGGCCGGACAGTCTGGGGCCTGGGGGCTGAGGCAGGACGAAGAGTGAGGGGCCCCACCCCAGACAAGGACCCCTGGCACTCACCCCAAATGCCCAGCCAGGCGCCGGCACACTCTGCCCCGCCCGCCCTCTGCGCCCGAAGCCGGTGCCCGGCGTGGGGCGTGCCGCGTGGAGGAAGTGGATGCTCAGCGTGGAGCGTTAGACACCCGCCCAGCTCCTCTGCACCCCAAACCCGGGCGCTTTCCCCCGGGCCGCGCCACCGCCAGCTCCAGTTATCCCAGCGACCTGTTCTCCATCCCATACAGCTCCGGCTAGGGGAGCCCTAGGCGGAATCTGGGGTGCTGGCGCCCTGACTGCACCCCAACACCTGGGGGCAAGAGCACCCCAGGGCTACAAGCCGGAGCCTGGCGGCGGGTGTAGGTCTGCGCGGCGCCCTGGGCTCCGGGGGACCCCCCCTTCCACCTCGGCCGGGACGGCGCTCCCGCCGGGCACACGGGCAGCCGGGCCGGACGGCGTGGACACACCCCCGGCGGCGGCAGGGACGGGGCCAGCGGACCGGGCCCGCGGCGGCGCTCACCATGTCCGGGTGGCGGGAGACCCAGGTGTCCAGCAGCAGGTCGAGGCGCGCGCGGTGGAACTTCCGGGTGGTCTTCACGGCGATGAAGACGTCGCGGGGCGCCAGCCGCTCGGCCGGGGGCCGCGGGGGGCGGGCGGCGCCCCCGGGCGGCGGGCCCGCGTCCCTGCGCGCGCGGGTGAGCCGGCCGAAGTACTCGGACAGGCTCCGCACCTCGGCCAGGCTGCCCTCGCCCGGCCCCGGCGCCCGCGCCGCCCCCGCGGGGCCCGCCAGGCTGCGCAGCGCGCGGCGGCCGCGCTCGGCGGGCGGCGGCGGCGGCGGGTCGGCCGTGAGCACCAGCAGGCAGGCGAGCAGCGCCCCCGCCAGCGCCAGCAGCAGGCGGCGGCCGCAGCGCTTCAGCATCCTGGGTGCGCCGCCCGCTGCGCGCCGCCCGCACCCGAGCCGAGCGCCCGGTCCGCCGCGCGTCCTGCGGCGCCCCGCCCGGCCCGCGCCCTTAAAGCCTCCGGCCTGGCCCCGCCCCGGGGCGGGACCCCTAAAGGTCACGCCCCATATGCTCTTAAAGCCTCCGGCATGGCCCCGCCCTGGGGCGGGACTCCCGAGAGGCCACGCCCCATGTTCCCTTAAAAACCTCCTGTCTGGCCCCGCCCCGGGGCGGGACTTCTGTGAGGCCACGCCCCATATGTCCTTAAAGTCGCAGGGCCTGGCCCCGCCCCGGGGAGGGACTTACGCTAGGCCACGCCCTTAAAGCCTCCGGTATGGCCACGCCCCGGGGAGGGCCTTCCGCGAAGCCACGCCCCCGCCACGCGCTCCCTGGCTCCGGGGCGGGGCCTCGCGCCAATGGTCCCCGGGCCCTGCCGCGCCCACGTGGGCCCCGCGGGGTCCGGGAACCGCGGAGCGCGCCGCGGCCCCGCCTCTGCGCCCCGGTGCGGCCCCGCCCTCCGGGGGCTCCCCCGGGCAGCCGGGGCCTCCGTGGCCCTGAAGGGGAAGCCGGGCTGCCCCGCCCGGTGCACCCGCGGTCCGGCCCGCGGAGGGTGCGCTGGGCCGCGGACCGGGCTCTGGGACGGGGCCGCTCCCCCGCGGGCGCTTCCCTCCGGAGCCCGGCTTCCTCCCCGGCCGCGCGGGCCCAGGCGCTGGGCGGGCGGGGGCTGAGGCCGGACCGCGCGGCCACGGGGCGCAGGTGGGAGGGAGGGAGGTGCCGGGACCGCACCTGCACCCGTGCCCCCGGCCCGTGGCCGTTCCCTGGGACCCCGCCAAACGCCGGGCTGGTCCCGGACCCCGGCCGCCCCGCCCGCCCGCCCGCCCGGATGAAAGGCGGCGGCCTCCTGCCCATTTGGTCCCTCCGGCGGGCAGATGTGGGCGCCCCGCCCCCGCCTTCCCACGGGCCGGCCGCCGCCGCACGCGCAGGGGCGGAGGAATGTGGCCTGCAGGCCGGCGAGGGTGAGGGGAGAGGGGCCGGAAGTGGCCAGGGGTCCCCAGCGTGGGATGGGGTCTGATCCCCCCTCCGGCCCGGAAGCGCGGCCCAGGGCGGCTCTCCGCTTGGCTCGGCCTCCTTCCCCTCCCGCTGCTGCTCCGGGACCACCAGGTTCCCCTGGCCGCCCCCCCTCCCTGCCCACCGCCCCCTATCTCCCCGCCTGTCCCTCCGTCTGTCTGCGCTGGCCCCGTAGTCCTTCGCATGTCCCTCCACCTGAATGGCCACCGAGAGGTCAGGCCTGCTGGCCCATTTGCTGGCCGGCTGGCCGGCACCGGCCGTGGGTGGGGTGGGGGACGGCGGTTCCCAGGCTCTGCCTGACGCCCCAGGTAATTAGCAGGCACCTCCGGCAGCAGATGCCGGAGCAGATGGTGCCCCAGTGACAAGCTCCCCGCCGTGTGCCTCCTGCCATAAACCCTCCCTCCTCCGCCTGCCCAGCCCGGACCCAGGCAGCTGGAGAGGGGAGGGAGTGGGTAGGGAGGACCCAATGCCGGGGAGGGCTCCCCCAAACTGCCTCTGAGCCCAGGCCAGCACCAGCCTGTCTGAGGGTGTGGGTGCTGCACGGCCCCCTCCACCGCCCCCAACCCCGTCCAGTCCAAGGCTGGGCTCTTTGAGACAGAGCCTCCTCTCCCCTGGACCTCTGGGGTGGTCCTGAGACCCCTCTCCGTGTCCCCAGTCCACCTGGTCACCTACCCCCACACAGAGCCAGCCACTCCGCTCCCCCAGGCGCCCCACATGTATCAAACCCCAGGGCTGCCTCCGCCCTGTCCTGGCCCGTGTCCGTGCGCCTGCCCTGGCCCGGCCCGTGTCTGCCTGATTCCTGCCTTCCCTCCTCATTCTCCTTCAGCCCACCCATCGATGCGCCCCAAACCTTTACACGACTGTGCCCGTTCCTGGGACTGAGGTCAGCAGTGAGGTGCCCACGAGGCCTGAGCATCTCCCGCCCCATCCCTCGCCCCATCTCCCGCCCAGCCAGCCCCACAGCACCCTGCTTGCTGCGGCTCAGGCCGCCCAGCCCTCTGACCCGCGGGCCAGCAGGAGCCGTGTGCCCACTGCGTGGACGCGTGTGAGGCTGGGGAAGGGCTGCTGCCCGGGACGGGGGCAGGACTGGCAGGGCAGGGCAAGGCACCCAGCAGGGCTTCCCTGCGCCTCTCGGGCGTGGGGGTGGGGCCGGCCGCCTGTCTGGGACGCGGGACAAAGCCTGCAGCATTCTTGTGGGGCCGTGGGCTTTGGCGGGTGATTCGGTTTCTTTGCTGTCAGGAGAATGGAATTTCGTGGTGATTCCTTGAGTCTGAACACTGTAGGGGGAGGTCAGGGCAGCCCCCCCTGCCCCTCCCCAGGCTCAGCCCCCCTCTGAGACACTCCCCTGCCTGACCCTCATAGCGTGGAGGTGGGTGGGGAGCGGCGCTGGGCTCGGAAATGGGGGGCCAGGGAGTGTTGGTCAGGTTGCCAGAAAGCCCCTTGGGGCCTTGGTGCTTGGGAAGGGGTGGTGCAGGTGAGGGTGGAGGGGGCCCTGCCAGGCTCCGATGGGGGGGCCTGCAACCCCATTAGGGCTCAGGCCCAATTCCCCCTGGGGCAGAGCCCCTTCTCCACGGACGCCGGCCCTGTCTGTCCTCCCCTGGGCCGTCTCTGCCCAGGAAGATCCAGGAGACATAATGGGTGACCCATTAACTCGCAGGAAGTCATCCGAGGCAGTGGTCCCGCTCAGCGTCCCGGGACAGCCTCCGCCCCGCCAGGGAGGGAGGCACGGTCCCCAGCTCCCCCAGGTGGTGGCAGGGGCAGAGCTGGGTGCTGGGCTCATGACGCCCCATCTGACGACGGAGACCCTGCCCTCCAGGGTGGTGCGAGGCACAGAGAACTGGCAGCCCGGAGCCTCCTTGATGCCAGGGGCCTGCGGCCTCCTCAGGGCAGTGATAGCCCGGCCACAGTGGCCCTGAGGGCCCGGCCCAGGCCTGAGGGCTGGGGAGGGGCTGGCGCAGAAGCCTATGTCAGGAGGACGGGCAGACGCAGCAGCTGGGTGGGCACTGCCCGTGAGAAGAATAGGCCACCAGCAGCTGTGAGTGGAGCCCCGGCCCTGCCCCGCCCGCCTGCTGCCTGCTTGCTCAGCCCAGAACCCCTCTCCCCAGCCGCTCTGTGTGGTCTGAGCCAGTTCCCTTCTCTCCGCGGGTCTGGGACTGTAGTTGACTCTGTAACAGGGACATGGCTGGCGCCTGCCTGCGCCCCTGCCCACCAGGCTGGCTAGCTGGCACTCTGCAGGCCTGAGGCACCTATGAGCACTGGGGCCGGGCCCTCTTCCCTGAACCTCGGGGCCTCTGTGGTCAGCGGTCAGGTGGAGGAGCAAGGCTTTGGGGGACACTGAGAAGGCCAGCCAAGGGCTACCTCTTTCAGTGCTTCCCGACCCCTGTGCTCCCCCCTTCCTGGCACCGGCCACATGAGCTTGCAACTGCCCATTCCCTGCCTGTTCCTCCCCCCCAACAGAGCTCAGGGTGAGGGCAGTGCCCCTCCTGCCCTTTACCGAGGCCGGGCACAAGTAGATGCTCAATAAATACTGGTTGGACAGATGAGTAAGGGGATGGATGGACGGCGGATGGGTAAATAGATGGACAGATGGATGGGTGGGTGGGTGGATGGATGGATGGACAGATGGGAGGATGGATGGGTGGATGGATGAATTACGGATGGACAGATGAGTGGATGGATGGATGGACAGATGGATGGGTGGGTGGATGTGGAGATACGGACATATAGGAGTGCTCCCCTGCCTCTCTCTCTCTCACCCAGCCCTGGGGCAGGTGGGTCTCAGGGTGAGGGCTGCCCACTGAGCTCTGCTGGCCTGGTGGTGGGCTGAGGGCAGGACTGTGGAGGGTGGCAGGGCTGATGCCCGTGGCAGGTGGCATACGCTGTGACACTGGCACTGGGAGCATTCCTGGATCCCACTCTGAGGAGGCCTCCCAGGTCCCCCTCAGACTGCCGGTCGTGCAGGTTGGACACGGGGTCGGTGAGGAGAAGGCGTGACCTTGACCCCACCCTCCGGCAGCTGCTCTTCCTGGGGCTGAGCCGTCTGGCCGGGCGGGGCCGGGTAATTGGATTTGCAGCCCCAGAGCAGAGGCCTGGCCACCAGACGCCGTGGCCCACATCCTGCAGAGCCAGATCCCACCAGGGAGACACCAGAGCACCCGCCCGCCGGCCGCCTTTGTCCTGCCAAGAATGGCGGGCTTGTGCTGCAGCCAAGGGTGGCAGGGCAGGCCCCGAGGGTGTGGCTGTGCCGTGCCGCCAACGGCACCAGATCCCAGCCCAGGGCAGGCGGGGCCGCAGCCGGGAGGCGGCAGAGCCAGCCTCGGGGCAGAGGGGCCTGTCCCACGACCGCAGGACCCTCCATGGGACAGGCTGATGGGGTGGAGGAGGACATGGCATGGACACCCCAGCTGCCCCGGTGAGGGGTGCCAGGAGTGGCAACCACACCCACAGAGAGTAAGCCACTGTCATGCCTGTCCATCCGCCTGCCTGTCCGTCTGTCCATGCCCCCACCCGTCCGACAGCACTTCCACACTGGCCTGCCTGGCGGCGGGGCGTCTGGGGGTGACTCAGAGCAGCCCTGGCCCAGCAGAGCCCACGGCCTGGAGAGAAGGTTCCTCAGGGACCCAGCTGTCCCCCAGCAGGAAGAGGGTGGTAGGGCTGGTGTGCCAGGGGCCAGGGTGCTTCCAGAGAGGGTCCTGGGAGGTGCGGGGAGGTCTGGGCGGGCGAGGGGAGGGGAGGCAGGAGCGGGAGATGTGCTGTAGGGCCAGGTGTGGGGTCGGGCAGAGGAGGGGTGAGAGGTAGGGCTGGGAAGGGAAGCGGGAGCCTGACCCCGGGTTCCTGCCAGGCTCAGGCGTGAGGCCACGGGGACCCCCAGGAGGGACCGCAGCCACCCAGGTGTCCTGGTGGCCAGGGAGGC